GTATTAACTAAAATATTTCCTATGTTATTTTATGCAATTGTCACATATGATACGTATATTTTATTATCTGAATTTGATTTCATACTATCAGATTAATGCTATAGGCAAGGGAGGATATTTTGATTTATATTTTGTAAGAATAATCACTTTATTTTTAGAGATGACACACTGTAAGAGATTCTATATTCAACTTACCTAGTTAAACAGTCTTAACAATAAAAAAATATTAATCTACACTATAGTATATTGAAGGTATTCATTCGTTGCTGAGATAGTTTTTGAAACAATTGAAATTGAAACAAACAATAATCCAAATTTGTTATGTTTAACGTTTTATATAAATGAGAAGTATAGCTGGGTATTCCGCCTTTTACTTAACTGGATATCATTGTGCAAACACGGATCTACATCTGAGTAGCAAATATCTGTACTTTTAAAGCCCTTTTTCAAACGAATTGACTCCTACTAACGATGCTAATACACATCGTAAAACGATCAAAACGATTATGTCAGCACTTTTTCCCAATACAATGTTATTCTGTATTAATATATTTTTAATCAATAAAACACTCTTTACATAGAAGTAAGATACCATTATCATTTATATTACAGGTGTGAAATAAATATATTCGTAAAGGTTTTATAATAAAAACATATAACTTATCATCCGTCATAGATTAATCATTTCATTTAAATCCTGTGTAAATGGTTGCTTAAAATGACATCTTTATCCTCAATAATATAAAATAATTTTGAAATTTGCGTTAGAAAAAAATGTATATATGTATACGCTCATAAAATGCTTGTGTATAGTCTTTTTGAAAGTTGTGATAACTATTTCATGACACTATTTAAATAGGATTTTAAACTCTCTTTTTCAGATACACACATGGCGAAGAAGATTGTAATATCTGGAGATAACATTTCCTACGTCACGAAATAGACACCGTCACACTGGTCTACGTAACATTCCTATAGATGATTGATATATTTAAGTGCTTTTAAGAACTGTGTTTGTATGACGAATTTCTGTGAATACGGATTTTTAGTTTTAATGATTATTATTAAAACTTTCTGTAATAATCAATTTGTGCTCCTAAAATAATATGTGAATGTTAACACAAATGATATGAATATCTTTAAAATGTTTTATGGGTCTAATACAAGTGGCTCATAAAAATCATTGTTAAGATAAATAGAATCGAACTTCAAGTTGGTATACTTTGTTCTAGATTTAAACAACATGCAATTCATAAAGGTTACGACTTGAAAATATCGAAAAATGTACATGTATAATTCGATCTCTAAAGAAAATGTCGCAGTGCGAATTTTCTCCACTGTGATACGTATTTCATGACTCTGTATCGCAACATACCGGTATATCGCCGTTCCGTTGCAACGCTACATTAATTTGTCCCTCTGGAATAAGGCTTGCAACAAAATATGACTTTTGTAGCGAAAACATGTTTTCTTTGTTTAATATATGTATACATATTGAATATATGTTTATGAAATAATAAATATTTAAGAGTGACTCGATTTGGTTTTTACTTTATTATTTGAAATACTCCAATTGTGAAGATAAAGTTCTTAAGCATATGATTTTACAGTTCCTATTCAAAATGTGTAATAAAACATGTTCTATTGTACAAGTCTGCATTTCGGTCATGTATACGTGTCACTTATATGTAAATGCATGCTTTTGATATTATATGTATCTTCTTTTATCAAGAAAATACAGTTCTGTATTCCCTGTGGACAACTAAAAATGCAATTCCGTATATCCCCTGTATATATTGAAAATACGATTCCGTATATCCCCTGTATATGTAGAAAATACGATTCCGTATATCTTCTGTATATGTAGAAAATACGATTCCGTATATCATCTGTATATGTGGAAACTACGAGTCCGTATATCCTTTGTATATGTAGAATATACGGTTCCGTATATCCTCTGTATACGTAGAAAATACGAGTCCGTATATCCTCTTTATATGTAGAAAATACGGTCCCGTATATCCTTGGTATATTTATAGTATACTAGGGATAACAACCTTGATATAGTCCGTATACGGGATTTTATTCCCGTATACTTCAAAAGTACGAACAAAAATACGTACATGTATATGGGGCAAATACGGAATTCCGTATATGCCTGATGCATATACGGACTTCCCGTATACCCGGTGTTCCCTATACGGACTCGTATACTTGGTCCGTATATTCGACGAATACATCCCGTACACGCCCGTATATGTAAAAAATACGGGACCGTATATTCCCGTATATCAGTATAATTTTCGCAGTGATTAGCATTATCTCATCAATTTCAACATCCTCTAAATCCCCAGATAACTTGATAAATTTAAATCGTTGTAATCAGGAAATTAAAACAGTCTGCCAATAATAACAATAGTTACTTTGAAATAAATAATAGAAACTGAGAGATAAATTTGTCATATTTTGTAAAAATCTATCTTTATATCAGTTGATGTGGAAACAATATAGACGAATTGCGCTGTATAGAAACAATACAGACGAATTGCGCTGTATACATGAAACATGATTTTAAAGGTATTGTTCCCAGTGTCAATCAATGCCAGAAGGCAGATATGAGCTTTTATCTCCAACAAATGGTGATTTCTTTAACTACTTTTTTATAACTTCAGTATTAACATTCATCAATAGAATACTCATATTTTCAGAGGACAAGCAAAAGACATATAAATTAATCTTCCTTAATTAATCCAAAAAACGTCTATATGCTGGATGTTAATGGCTGTATTTCATACTTAAATATCGTTCTATAATTAAATGAACATTTATGTTACAAGATGAAATAGTAGAACAAGTTAGATATGTCCTTAATGTTAAATTTTAAGAGCATACAAAATTAAAATGATAATAATAATAATAATAATAATAATAATATGTACACAATTCTAATTTTTGTACCTGTTTTTATCTGAAATATTTTCATGTCAGGAAGTCTAGATATGTGTTCTGCACATCATTTTATTAAACATAATAATTCAACTGATCTTTTTATTTATTATTATCGGTTTAAAAGAAGCAGAGCGAACAAGAAATTTTGAAACGGAAAATGATTAGGTATGACTTTGACCTGAAGAAGATCAAAGCTGCGCTTTGCTAATCGTCTCATGGTGTTTTAAAATTATTTCCGTCAAGCAGTTTAATTTCCTTCTTCCGGTTCAAAATATTTAGACCGGACACGAAACCTAACAGGAGGACAGACGGTTGGAAGGAAGGATGACCAGATGCATAACAATCGCCGATTTTATTTTTAGCGTACAATACAAAAAGCAAGACAAAACTGTGTTTCTACTTCAAATACTATATTTTTGGTATGCACTGGGCCATTTTCATTAAAATGTACTGCAAAAAAATAAAGGAATAGAAAAAACAATGGCAACATTTACGCTCAAACCACACTCATTAATTTTATCAGCCATTCATTTAAACACATTTGCTATTGCGGATGTAAACATCAAGATTGTTTTGTGCATAGATCGTGAGACTAGTATTGTTGCTATCAAAACCAAACCTTTTGCCGCCTACAAAACTGTATGATTTATTTGGTAAATGGGTTCGTGCTGGTTGAATGTTTATTTAAATTTGAAAATTGAATTTTTCCACCCATTTGCAGCAGGTGTTTAAAGAATATTGAATAGATAAGCTAATGTTAGTTCAGTGTTTTGTTATAAATAGCACATTTTTATACAACTTTCAACTGCCACCTGATTGACATTTCAAAACTGTACGAGGGATGATCCCAAAGTTTGTGGATAAAGATGAGAGAATAAAATACGGATTTCTAAAAAAAGCTGTATGGGAAATTTTGAAAATGTTGCAGGGTCAGTTTGGTTAAGCCTGTGCATGGACAATATTGTAAAGTGCAAGTTTCCGTCCACCCCGTCCGTATCATCAGCCCTAATTCAGCTGAATTCAACATTAAAATTCTACGAAACATAGAATAATGAATTATTGAATAAGAAAAATCGGCCGTCAACTTGTCCATGCGGTTTATGATAGAACCTGTGACCTTTTCGTCGCATTACATGATGGCACGTATAATAATAAAGTAAAAGAATGCATGTGCCTTTACCGAGAGAAAAATGGGTGAAATTTAATAAAATGGAATTTAAATAGGGATAAGATTTTATGAATCCTTAATACTTAATTGTCCGTCAAAGAAGAAAATGAAACAAAATCAAAGGGCAACATATTCTTTGAGTGACTATACAGTATTCATTTAAGGGAACTTAAACCACCAAACTTAAAAAAGATCTTGATATAAAGGTCCAAAATGAAATAACTGATTGTATAATAAATGTAACGATAAAGTTGTATTTAGCAAAAAAGGAAAGAAAATATCACGTTTATGATTGAATTAACGCAACGGCATTTAACAGCATACATACTGCACAATCAACGCTGATATGACGTTAAAATCAAAACAAAAATATTTTTTCAACAAATAAAGTAATTACATTTTGTTCATGGAAAATTAATATTGAAAAAGTTTTAATAGAAATACAGTGCAGAAAATGACGATCGTAAGCTATCAAAAAACAAGAAGGTTATACTAAACGATCATTCGTAAACAACTTTACGAATACCTCTCATAATCCTATGAAATTGTTCACAATCTCCACAAATGTCAACACATTTACGATATCTCTGAATCCAATCTTTTTTTTTAAAAAAGCATGTTGTAAAACGTATAGGCTTTGACAACATTGTGTATAATTTTTCAGTAAGTGTGTAACTATGCTAATAAAAATTAATCAAGCGTTCAATTCGTTTAAAATAAATTATAAAAGGTGATTTCAATATAAGTTGTCAAACTCTTACGCCTTACAATATTACTAAGAAAAAGGCGTTAGCACACTCCGCTGACTTCAAGAACAACCCTCGGCTATTGTGTGTTTAAATATTATGTAAATTATTGTATTGCATCACTTAATGACTTAGCGTAGGTGTAGGTGTACAAGAGGTGTCCACTGCTTTACATAAATAAATACTTTGTGTACAATTCAACATCAACGCAGATCTAAACAGAGAGCTTTACAACACGCATCGTGTGCTAAAATTCTTTGTTATTTTGGTAAGAATTTTATATTGTTAAGCAGTTTTCACACAAATTTTGAATCTTCAAATAGTCGCAAGTTTTACAAAACACGTTTCTTCTGCTACACTAGATATTTTATTTTTAATTTAATTTGCAGAAAAATAGTTTTTGAAAATATAAATAGATAAATACATGTGTATATTGCGATATATCTCAAGAGAAGTATTGCTCCAAGTTAATTAAGACACGTGTTCGTAGACTTCGTTCCAATGTTTTTGAACACTTTACCATCAAGTCTAAATGAAATTAAGATTTTGGACCTTTCCAAATATCTTTAAAAACACACTTGTTCAAACTTGCAAACCAATCATAACTGGAAAATAATCATAATGAAACACTACGGCCTATATATCTAAACAAGTATTTTCTTTTATTATGTTTATTTCATTTATTCTTAAGCGACGCAAATGCATTTTTATTTATGTACGTTGTCTTCTATATACCTAAGATCGCTTTTACGACTTATTTAAGGTTTTATAATTTCTATAATGTCTTAATTTTCAATCATAACTTTATTCTAACCTGTTTTAAAAATATTAATCATGTTTGGACATTGTAAATACACATATTTTTTAAAAGGAAGATCAAAATATTATACGTACCTGTCACAATACAAGGTATATAATGCCTTTGTTACATTCATTGTTTCGTATCCGACCAGGTTCAAATTGGTTCGATGGCGCACTAAAACTGTTAATATCATATGGCGAATTCTTTTAGCTTAACTCTTGGGGAAAGACCACAGGTGCCTTTGTGCACATTATTTCAGCACGAACGGGAACCTAACTAGAACCACTGATGTTCTCTATGCAAATTTAAAATCGTTCTCATATACAATATGCCTTTGGCGTGATTCGAACCAAGAAAGATGGAGGAAAATGGTTTAATGCCAACATTCTTAACAAATTGATCATAGATGCCATTGTTTCAGATCCATAAGGTCTGATATCAGACAAGTTTCAGATTTTTTTAGTCAGGGTTAACAAAAATATATGTTATTGTGATGACTTATTTTGAAACAGTCACGTAAAATTTATACCATATGAATGAAATTTTGGAGACCATACTTGAAAGATTATTTTCATTGCTGATATCACTTTGTGCTCACTAAATACAACATTTATTAAAAATTACAATGAAAATAAAGCTAAATAATTTAATGGTCTAATTCAGTCAGTGCTTTTTAGGGTTGACATTTTGTCTTTTCCTCTTTTCTGGTGGCAAAGGACTCTTTAATGTGATTTGAAAAGACTTAATCATGTTTATTGATCCGTTTTAGCCAGTGCCAGAAGTAGGGGTGGTTGCCTTGGCTAATATTCAACTTACCTAATCTCACTTACTGAAAATGTATCAATTTGCTTACGTTCCTTTGCAGGTGCACATAGAAACAAGAATGACAAAATACATGCAATTTGTTCTATTGATTTGTCTTATTGGATTTGCCCTCGGAAATAGTAATGATAATGCAGGGTGCAATGTTGTATCAGAACAACCCGGAGGACATTTTGAGCTTAGTCAAGAGCAAGAACAAGAAATAGTAAAAAGTAAAAGGTAGTAGAATTTTTTAATGATTTTTTTTATGAGAAAAACAATTTAAATGGAAAAAATGATGATTTGACATTGATTAAGAGAAGAATATTACACAAACATAATTGATTCCTAGACAATATTGATTCTTTCTTATCCAACATATCAAACATATATCATGCTGGCTGCATTATCAGAGATCCTTTTTTATTTCTTATTTTAATGAAACACCTAGATATTTTTAAATCGTGTTAATCACCAGCACATATTGATGTTAATATTCATGGGTGCAATGAAATTGTATCATTGGAAAATGCTGAACAAAGTAAGACCAACGCGTTAGAAGCAATTAATTGATATATATATTTGTATTTTGAGTTTTAAGCTTGGTACAACATTCACGATCTAAGCAGGTCATATTGGACTGATGGGTTATTTGTGTTATATTTTGATCAAGAGTATGACTAGCCTTAAAGAATAAAATGTGCAGTTAATCTAATAGCACAAACAAAAAAACCTTAAATCATATAATTTAACCAAAGCAACATTAACAATTGCGTGATTGACGTTTAAAACATAACAAAAATTATCAAAATACAAATTATCAATAAATACTTACACAATATTTCCACTCATATAAACATCAAACTATTAAATAGGTACAAAAATGGAAGACGGGTGCCACCCACTGGTAGATAACCAAGCCCGACGTCACAGAATAAGACATTGCAGATTGTAGATTGTAGATTGTGTTGATAGATGAAAATAGATTACTGAAACAAAAAAGACATACTGTAGTTTTAATTTAACACCCATCTGATTAATATGCTCAGCCATACAATATTTGTTTTCCATTCCCACACTCGAACAGTCAGAATACCAATTGAGCTATCCGGTAGGCTTCACATTTTCTCTTTAATAATGAACTGTTCTAAACCACAACATATTTCCCCACTATATTGATTTGTGTCCTTGAATTTCTGATGTTTACAGAGCATAGTGAAATACATTCAGGGTTATATGCAGTAACAGGATGAGAAAAACGTTCAGCTTGACCGAACTCGAACCTGTGACCCTCATAATAATGTACCGTGGCTGTAGCGATTGAGCTATCTGGCCGCTTACACACTTTCTCCCCTAAATAGTGAACAGTTCTAAACCCTGACAGATACATTTAGATTATTAAACTAACAGGTAGATTAATTCTTAAAAAATTAATTAGGAAAAAACTTACATATTCATAGTCTTAATCAAAATAACAATTTATATATTGTATAATTATTTTTACTAAATAAGGGCTTAGACAGTTATGGTTGTGCGATTATTTATAGCAGGTCAATTTGAAAGTGAACATAACTGTACAAATACATGTACAATATCTATTTTTTGTAAAGATAAAAAAACTAACCTTTTTTCTATGATGAGAAATTTTATGACGGCTGATTAGTATTTTGCATCAGGGGGGGGGGGGCACCGGGCAAAAACATGAAAATACAACAACCGAAGCACTTTGTGGTATATTGTATTTTCATGTTTGCATTTGGCGCCCGGTAATTTTATGTACTTTGTTGGTTTTCACATATTTCATGTAACACAAATCACCCACTTTAAAACTGAGTGCAAAAGTTTATTCAAGTGCAAGTAACAATCTACTCTATGAAAAGTCTGCTGTCCGGTTGACTTTGGAGCTCGAGAGGTTGAGATCAAACTATGCAAATGTAAGAAAAAAAATAGAATAACAGTTCTGAATATGATTTTTTGAGACAATATAAATTGTATTGCTTGATCCAAGTTTTAAGGACATTTTCAATCAATACATGTATTATCATATATAACTTTAAATAAAAGTATCATCCCTTTAATTATTATGTCATTACTGTAACTCTGTAAATACAGAAATATTCTCATCATATCCATATACTAAGATATAAATGTATGCACATGACAATAATAATTCCAAGTTTCTATTAAATAAATATGAAATCCTAACATTAACACTAAAATTGGTACTAATGAATGGAAATCAAAATCTAGTACTAGAAAGAAAACTATAATGTATGAACTTTATTAAAGATACCATTATTAGCCAGCTTACACTGGGTAGAAACACCTAAAACCTGTAGACTTATCAAAACATGTATTATCATTCATAAATTTAAATGATAGTCTCATCCGTCATAACTGTAAGTCTTTAAAAACAGAAATATCGTAAGTCTCATCATATCCATATACTGAGAAACACATGTATGCACATTACATAAACAATTCCCAGTTTCCATTAAAAAATAAATACAGTAAACTTCACTTAAAGCGAACACGGTTATAGCGAACTTCCGGTTATAAGGAACAATTTATTTTGGCCCGAATTTTGCCCTTCTTTATTTAATATAAAAATATATGGTTATAGCGAACACGGTTATAAGGACTTATCGCTTATAAGGAACTCATTTCTTAGTCCAAATTCAGTTAAAAGTACAGAAAATTACACTTTTATAGAGAACTCCAAAATATCGGCTATCCATAAATTCATCCCGCATTTTCAACTTTCTTTTTTGTAGGCACGGATTAAAACTCGCCCGAATGTACCTTTTATTGTTGTCTGTACTTCAATACAGCTATAAAATTAATTTGTATAGCAGTACTGGCATGCGAGCAGTTCCCGTACAGAAGCAGTACCCGTATTTTTCATTTAAACGCTTGATTTTTACTTGCATTCTTCAAAAATTCATTTCAAATTAAGCAGATACATAAACAAGACAAAATCTAAGTGTCAGTTCGGTAGTACGTATAAAAAGTCTCATTTTAAATCACTTTCACCTGTGCGTCGTCAAAACGTGACCTTGTTTTCTCTGGGGGATTCCGTCCTTGCGCGCATGCGCAAAAATACCTACACGTGAGGCTTATTAAAGGGTTTTCCACTAATACCACCTGTTTACAGATAAGTAGGCAATGTGATGAAAACTTGTTTAATTATCAGAATTTTGACCAATATTACTATATAAAATAATTTTATGGCTTTGATGCGTAAAATATCATGCATACAAGCATGCTATTGCATGTGAATGCGTTGGGGTAACGGTACCGGGTAATAGATACCCGCGTTTAGTCTACGCTCTATTTCCTGAATTACATCTATTTATCTCTTAGATAATGGTCTGTTCAACAATTGTAAATGAAAAATAGGTCCGATATAATAAAAATATATAGTTACAATGGGTTAGATTTTATGTACGGGAACTACTTCTCTTCATACAAAATAATGGATAATTTCGGTACCCCATTTGAGGCCTCATAAGTAAGGGTTATTCTATGTTTAGAACATGATGGAATTTCAATGATTTGTGTTACGAGCCGAATATTGATGTGTAACATTTAAATTTTGGTGAGTGATCGTAATAAAAAATAATGCTTAAGTAACTATGATTTTTGTACGGGAACTGCTCGCATGCCAGTATGTTACAGTTTTCTATTAAGGATATTTTAAGCATGAGTTCTTGTCACCAAGATAAAACGGTTATTCCTTTTATTGTATTATTTCTTTTCTTTAATAGGTTTCCTCGAGTAAAATAATTATGATAATTTATAATTGATTTTGAACATAATCAGGCATGCTTGCTAATCAATTGAAAACTACAAAGAACGTTTGATTGAAATAAAAAGAAATCTATATCTTTCATAAGTAAAAGTCACCCAAGATATTCAATATAAAAGGAAGGAAAAATGGAAAATCTTGTTTATTCTTAATCATGGAAAGATAACGAAAAGCACTGAGTTGAGAAACAAAATATGATATTTTATGATAAATGAAAAAGAAAGTAAAACTAAAACTGAAAAAGCAAAGGATTTTCAAATTCCAAAAAGTACCCTCTCTGGTATTGTGCATTAAAAGAATAAATGACTAATTTTTCTTAATCAAATGCTCTTCAAAATGGAATACACAGTTCGTTTTATGTAAATCTGTTCGCTATAAAAACTCCTGATATAAGGAACTAATTCGCTTTATGCTTACAAGGAACTCCATATATAAGGAACAGATATTGAATGTCCCAATGAGTTCGTTATAAGCGGAGTTTACTGTATAGCATCCTATTAACATTAGTACTTGGATGGAATTCATAATCTACTCAAAAAGTCTATATCATATAATAAAGATTGAGTTGTATGGGTGTCTAAATAATAAATGCAAATCTCTTGCAGTAACAAATACTGTCCCTATTTAACCTTCCATTAAACTTTACTATATGATTAACTGCATATATATCAAGTGTTTAAAATTGATAACTTCAGGATGTTATCCTTTCTCTGTTTCAATATATGGACATGAGCACGTATATGCTTAGCTATACTTTTTTCTACCTGTCATTTTATTATCTTATTAACAATTTATATACAAACACATAGAAATTAATAATAAGATTCACATAGTGATTAGAAGATTCTTGTAGCAAAAACACCCGTAGGTATGGACTAACTGAACAAACTAGAAAATCAAGTCTAAGGTATATAAAGCAAGTAAAAAACATCTATCAATATTCATTCCTCAGGACATCTATGCTTTAGTTGACTTACAATAGGTAAATTTATATAAAAAAGAAATTGTAAGTAATACCTAAGATAGGCAGAAAAAAGTAAACATAAGTTACTTCCCCTTAAAATAGAGAAAACCTGAAACCCAAAAGAACACCCTAAACAGCAAAATTATGAAATGTTGCAAGCTCAGTTTTATTAAGCCATGCAAAGTAATGGTAAAGTATTCATAAAAAGTTAGATGGCCATGTGACAGCAGTAATTGCAGAGAGTCGGATAGCTTTCAACATCCGGATACGGGTTCACTTTGTATGAAATAATCAAATCTGTGCAATAGATACACGTAATATGGATAAAATCAATAGGATAATCGTTTACAACAGTTCCATTACCAATCCTAATACTCATTTGCAGGCGAACGTTCTTCTTGTGAAAAAGGATACAGCATCAATGTAGACCACAACGATATTCGAAATCCGGGTTTTAGTATTGCCAATAAAGCTAAAGAGACAAGCTGTTAAACTGAGCCTGCAATTTCGTAAAATTGATATCACAAAGCACTTGCTTTTTACATAAATGTAATTAAAATAAAAATAACAACATAATAAAACTAATTTACACAACATGACATTAACTGCTTATAATAACAGCTCCTTCCATAGGCCAAAATAAAAATCATTTTATAAGAGACGACGCCGCTCACTGGCGTCGCCAATAAAACCTGAAATAAACATACTGAAATTTAAAAATAAATAGAGTCAAAAAGGTATAATATACTATTTCTGACATCACTAAATATATTTCTTTTATGATTTGTCGCCGTTCTGTAACAGCAGCATATCAAATAATCCTATATATAATTTTATCGGTCTGCTTAGACTTACAAGAATGGATTTATCATACTTTTTAAAAAGTATCTGACTTGCTTCACTTTAGATCTTGCCCAAATTGTAAAGATTACCTATTCTTTTAATGTAACATTTAATGCTGTTAGTCAGTCATAATAGATTATTGGCTACCACGTGATTTTATAACCGTAAAATTCTCGTCCATTACAATTCTGGCTGACACAACTTAGTTGACTAGACAGAACAAAAAAAAAACGAGTTTTTTCAGAGTCAAACACACTAGAATGAAATCATTACTACCACCATTATCTTTCACATACACAATCCTCATATTAATGTCATCATTTCATAAGCATTAAGAATTAATTATAAGTATCATCATCATCGTCGTCATCATAATGTTCG